TCCCAGATTCAGGGAATTTACTGTACCCAAACTATCCTCTTTTGCTATACATTATTCATTTGTAAGTGTTTTCCACAAGATTTCTTTTTTTTTCTTTTTTTTGGTGAGGCAAGCAGGGTTAAGTGACTTGACCAGGGTCACACAGCTAGTAAGTGTCAAGTGTCTAAAGCCACATTTGAACTCAGGTCCTCCTGACTCCAAGGCCAGAGCTCTAGACACTGCACCACCTAGCTGCCCCAAGATTTCAACTGGGTATCAATGCTTGACGGGTGATTTGTTGGGCTTAATCCCCCAGGGATGATTGACTGATCCCATTTATAATGCATTTGTCTGTGTTACACTGGTTTGCTTCTCCGAGACCTGTTGTAGAATAGATGTTCCTAAAAAGTAGTTTCGTCTATATTAGATAGGCACATGTTGCCTCCCTACTAGAATGTAAGCTGGCTCGCTTCTGTCGTCAACACCTAGTACAGTGTCTAACACATATAAACACTTAATAAATACTTGGTTGACTCCTAACTGGTCTTCCTGCCTCCAACCACTCCCCATCACCATCTTTTAGTTAAGCAAGCAAAAAGGCATTTATCATTTGCCTACTATGTGGCATGCACTATACTAGGCATTGGGGATAAAATGACAAAAGTGCCCTCACTCAGAGAGCTTACATAGTATCTGGGACACACATATACACATACATAGGTATATACAAAACACATGTGTAGGTATATGCAAAGCACATACAACATAATGTTGGAGGGGACGGCACTGGCAGCTGGAGGGATCAGGAGAGAATGTAGGCAGGAGGCTCTTGAGCTGAGTCTTAAAGGAAGAGAGAAAGATTTCCAGGCATGAAGGACAGCCAGTGAAAACATGGAGAAAAGAGGATAAAGTGTCAAATAGGAAAAGCAGCAAGTGAGCTAGAACCCAGAGTTTATGAGGGAAATAAATATGTATGTTTGTGTATATATACATATACATATGTATATGTATGTGTGTACACACACACACACACACACACACACACTTTAAGAACTTTAAATGATACCTAACAGAGGAGTTTACATGGGATTTTCCAGAGATGGAGAAGGGAGAGGAATGGCAGTGACATGGCCAGACTTACCCTTTAGCAAAGTCACTTTGGTGGCTGTGTGGAAAATGGCTTGGGTCTGAACTAAGGTTGTGCGAGTGGAAAGGACTACATGTGAGAGTTGGTATGGAGACAGAAATAGCAAGAGTTGGCAGGTGATTGGATATAGAGTGAGAAGAGATAAAGGGAAGAGAGAAGGAAGGGAGGGAGGGAGGAAGACAGGGAGGGAAAGATGAAGGAAGAAAAGAAGAAAGGAGGGAAGGAGAGGAAGAAGAAAGTGAAGAAGAGGAGAAAGGGAAGAAAGGGGGGAGGAAGGAAGGGAGGAAGAAGAGGAAAGGGTGAGAGGAGGGAAGAAGAAAGAGGGGGAAGGAAGGCAGGGAGGAAAGGAGGGAAGGAAAGGAAGAAGAAAGCAAAGAAGAGGAGGGAGGGAAGAAGAGGGGGAGGAAGGAAGTGAGAGAGAAGGAAACAAGGGAGAGAAGAAGAAAGAAAGGAGGAAAGAAGGAAGGGATGGAGGAAGAGGAAGGGAGTGAGAGAGGAGGAAAGAAAAGAAGGGAAGGAAGGGAGGGAAGGAAGGAAGGAAGGAAGGAAGGAAGGAAGGAAGGAAGGAAGGAAGGAAGGAAGGAAGGAAGGAAGGAAGGAAGGAAGACCAGTCACTGTGTTAAACACTTAACAAATATTTCATTTGATCCTCACAACTCTGTGAGGTAGGTGTTATTATCACCCCTATTTTACAGTAGAGGATGAAACTAAAGTTTCAAACCCGTTTGATCAAAAAGATAGTGGAGACCTCCATGGTGATAGGAAATTCAGAAGAAATCTGAGTTTGGAGAAAAGATAATGAATTCTGTTTCAGACATGATGCCCATGGAACATCTGGTTCAAAATGTCCAATAGTCAGTAGGTGACGCAGGGCAGAAACTCAGGAAGAGACTGGGGCTAGAACTTCCTGCAGCCACCAAAATAATCATCCTTAGGCCCAGGTCTGATCCTCTACCTGCCTCCTCTAAACTGCCTCAGGTTCCCCATTACCTAAAGGACAGGACCAAATGCTTAGCCAGCCATTGAAGGATCTCTATAATCTCATGTCAAACCCACCTTTCCAGCTTTAATCTCACCCTCCTCCCCTACTTGCACACTCCATTGCATTGTGGTATAATTAAAAGAGGGTGGGTCAGGAACAACCTGGTCCCCGTCTTGTCTTACCATGCTAAGTCCTGCTTCTGGGAACTTGCCAAGGTAGACTCCTCTGCCTAGAATTAATTCACTGCTCATCTTTGCTTTGTGAAGTCTTTCCCTTCCTTTAAAGACTGATTCAGGTGGCACCTCAGCTGAGCACAGGGTTGGGTGGTCAGGGAAGGCTTCTTGGAGGAGATGCCACACTCTACCTTGTATACCATAATTAAATATGTCACATCCTTTCCTCATAATTTCTTTTCTAATTTTTAATTAATTATTTTGAATTATCAACAATCACTTCCATAAGCTTTTGAATTTTAAATTTTCCTCCCCCTCCCTTTCCACCTCCCTCCCCAAGACAGGGCACAATCTGATATAGGCTGTACATATATATTCCTATTAAACATATTTTCACCTTAGTGATGTTGTAGGTAAGAATTAGAACCAACAGGAGGAACCACCAGAAAGAGGAAACAAAACACAACAGAAGGGAAAAAAAAGCAAATGGTGTGCTTCGATCTGCATTCACATTCCACAGTTTTTTCTTTGGATGTGAATAGCATTTTCCATTCCTCCCTTACAATTTCTTGCTTGTAAACTTCTGGAGGCAAGGGACTGGGTGCTTTGTTTTTCATTTTTGGAACCCCAATGCCTTGCACACAGTAGACACTTACTAAGTGGTTGCTGAATTCAACAAATATTTACCCAAGAATTTAGAGAAGCTCTTGTCTTCGTGGACATGCAGCTATTCTGTACGCTGGTCATTTGTGCAGGCGTCATGAAAAGGTGAAAGCAAAGTGTCATGTGAGGCAGTATGGCAGTGTGACAAGAGAACTGGAGCTGCAGTCTGGAGACCTGGGTTTGAATCTCACCCCGTAGACTTGCTAGCTGTGTGACCCTGGGCAAGTCACTTATCCTTACTGAGCCTCCGTTTCCTCATCTGTAAAATGAGCTGGAGAAGGAGACGGCAAACCCCTTCAGCATCTCTGCCGAGAAAACCCCAAAATGGAGTCACAAAGAGTCAGACAAAACTGAATAATAACAGATTCCACACAACGAGCCTGGAGCCAGGAAGACACAGATTCAGGTTCTGAGTATGTGGCCCTGCCCAAAGTACTTCACTTCTCAGTTCTCTAGGCACCTCTTTAAGATTATAAATTTCAGAGAAGGTACTGGGCTGTATACATAGAAAATGTCTTCATCCAGAACTACCCCATATCAATGAAATCACAAATCTAATCTCTACGCCCCTCTAAATGATGGCAGCGATAATAGCCTTAAGCTTTGCAAAGCACTTTGCATACATTATCACATATAGTATGTGACCCTCAAGACATCCCTTCGTGGGCAGCTAGGTGGCCTAGTGGATGAGCACCAGCCTTGGAGTTAGGAGGCCCTGAGTTCAAATCCAGCCTCAGACATATAACACTCTACCTGTGTGACCCTGGGTTAAGTCACTTAACCCTAATTACCTCAACCAAAAAAAAGTGGGAAAAAAAGACATCCCTGTGAGTTGGGTGCTGTTATCCCTATTTAGCAGATGAGGAAAGTGAGAAACAGAAAGGTGAAATTCAAGGTCTTCCTGACCCCATATTCATGATCTTTTTAACATAAGGCAAACAGGCTGAGGAGATGACTGAGTGAAAGCATGCTTGGTGCTCTCTTGGGACCGGCAAATGAGTTGGAGGTAAAGGCATCTGACCTCCGGGACCTTATCCCTATCCCCCTACCTGTTGCCTCCCTCCACTGAGGAAGCACGACCTAAATACAAGCCTCTGGACTAAAAGGGCTCTGATATCCCTTCCACCCCTAGATCTACGATGCTATGACTGTGACTTTCTGATTTCCAAGGTGCTTTTTCAGCTCTGCAGTCTCTGAATCCCTGATACCTTGCTAAAAATCAAAAGGCACTATGCTAAGCCTGGGAATACAAATATAAGCAGAAAGAAAGGTAGTCCCTGTCCTCAAGACATCATATTCTAATGGAGAAAGATAATACATAAAAGGAAACTACAAAAGGGATGGAAGTGCTGGGACATTGTAGCGAAAGCCCAGGTGGATCAGGAGTGCAGCCTAGAGAGGAATGAAAGGCAGAGATGGCCCAGTACCCAGGAGAAGCAAGAATTGAGGTCTGAGGGACGGCGGCAAAGGGCAGGAAGCCAAAAGTAGTTGCTCCACAGATTTTCCCAGGGGTCAGCCCCAGATGGAGTCATCAAATCTGGGGCTCCCAGCTTTTTATGTGAGAACTCCCCCTCCCTTTAAAAAAAATCCTTGTACTAGAGTGAATTCCACCAGCTGAATGAGGAGCTGAGGTAGCCATATATGGCTCAACATGCAGAAACCATTCTGGAGATATCAGGAATTTCCACCCCAACACTCCCTCCCCTGTCCCACGGTTCTGAGGAGGCAAAATTCACTAGCAGTCCTAGGTTTGGCAATTTATAGGCCAAATGAAGTTAGCCCTAGAACCTATGCTATCTATTATGGATATATGACTAGTTTCTTTCTTAAAAACTGTTGTTTGTTTGTTTGGGGGGAGGGTGATTTGCTATTGTTATTGTGGAATTTGTTCAACAGGTGCAAGGAGGCAGTGACCTAAATGGAACCTTAGAAGATGAAACCCAACCCCACAAGCTCTTCCCCACACCTTTGTGGAGCTGCCACCTTAGGGGAGAAGAGTTGCCCTGTCTGCCAGGCCTGGAGATCAGGGGAAGGACCAGGGGCCTCCTGTCCCAACATGGCTCAACCCAAAGCTGGTGGTTTGACAGCACCCCAGGGCCAACCACCCCAAGGCCAGGCACCCCAGGGCCAACCACCCCAAGGCCGGGCACCCCAGGGCCAACCACCCCAAGGCCGGGCACCCCAGGGCCAACCACCCCAAGGCCAGGCACCTCAGGGCCAATCACCCCAAGGCCAGGCACCCCAGGGCCAAGCACCCCAGAGCCAGGCACCCCAGGGCCAACCACCCCAACGCCAAGCACCTCAGAACCAACCACCCCAAGGCCAGGTACCCCAGGGCCAGGGACGTCAGAGCCAACCACCTCAGGGCCAGGCACCCCAGAGTCAGGCTCCCAACAGCAAACCTAAGGAGCAGGAAGAGCCCCCACATCCCTCCATCCAGAAGGCCCTGGTGACAGGAGGGGGTGGCTACTTTGGGTTCAATCTGGGCTCCAGCCTTGTCCGGAAGGGGGTCTCAGTGGTTTTGCTTGACATCCAGCGTCCTAAATGGGAGCTACCAAAGGAGTTGCATTCATCCAGGTATGGTTGGGACTACCTCGTAGAAGAGACAAGTCCACAACTACACTTCTGTTGGGAGGAAAAAAGGTTTTGTTTTTGTTTTTGTAGGGTTGAGGAAAGAGGTTGGTCGAATGGGGAATTTTTACCCATGGAATTAAGCATGCCAAGTTGGGGGGAGAAGGTTTGGGAGCAGTGTGAGGGTAAGGAAAGTTGGGTGATAGTGGAGCTATTCATAAACCTTTTCCATCCCAAAGACCAAGGTTCCTCATGATTCAGTCAGGGATTTGAAAAATCGTTCTTGTCCAGCTCCTAATAACCTAGTAAGATAGTGTTTCTTGAACAAGGAAGTCTTTGTCTATCTCAGGATGAAAACCTGGACTGAGGGAGAAACTGGGGTCCTAGTCAAAGACTCTCACTCTCTGCATTTCAGCTCCCCCCATCTCCTCCCTCTCTGTTTTCTAGGGTGACATCCGGGATGGGGAGGCCCTATATCGAGCCTGTGAAGGGGTTGACTGTGTTTTCCATGTGGCTTCCTATGGAATGTCAGGTGCTGAAAAGGTGTGATCAAACCCCACCCTTCCTCCCTACCCCCAGGACCTTGGCCCTGGTCCAAGGTGGTCAGGGAGATGAGGGTACAGACACCATGACTGACAAGAGGTGATGAGGGAGTTTCTTCTCCCTCTGTAGTTTTATTGTTTTGTTTTGTTTGGGGAGGGGGAAGAAATTAAAAGGAAAAGAATAACTTTTATGAAGTATTTGGCTTTCTGAGGATGAAAGAATTCATTTAACAAAAACTGAATAATTCACGTCCCCCACCCTGCACCAGGGATGTAAAGACAAGAATGAGACAAGAACTTCACAGAACTTCAGTCTACTGATTTGCCTCCCATTTTCCATATGTACTTTCTCTTTCTTTCTTGTTCTTTTCTCCCTCATTCTTTCTGTCTTGTTCTCTCTCCTTGTTCACCACCCGGTGTCTGTCTCTTTCTCTGTATGTCTGTCACACACACACACACACACACACACACACACACACACACACACACACGCACACACACATTTTCCCCTTCTTTGTTGTTCCTCTTTTTGTTTCCCTGTCTTCTCTATCTCTCTGACACACACATGTGGGTCACAAAAAGATGGAAACAGAACCAGGATGGGTCCTCAGGACAGAGAGGGGGAACCTCGTGTTTGGTTAGTCAAAGATACCCAGAGCTCCTAGGTAGGGGCCAGAAGCCCAGATTTCAGTCCTCCTTGGCTTAGGGTGTCTCAGGGTGACCCAGAGGCATCACAGGTCATGCGGTTTATCTTATTTCTCAAGGGGACTAATTCCCATTGCTGAAGACTCTTTTGAAGGAATACTAACCCCACATCCAGTGAGTGAGTCCCTCACTACCTTTGTGTTTCACCTCTTTCAATGAACTGAGCTTGGGTGAATGAGAGGCCCTGAGACTGAGTCTGAGGAAAAGCCATGGTTGGGATCAATCAGAGCACAAAGGAAGAGTCCCATGTCTCCAGTTCTTGTCTCTGTCCTACCCACAGGGGACAGATCAGGAGACTTTTGTTGGTGTTTTCCTGGTTCTCCTCTACACTCCATCCAAGAAAGTAGGGAGTGAGGCTTGGAGCTGGGAGAGGGGAGTGCTCAATGGGAAGAGGGGGAGATATGTGAGAACCCCTGACCCTGCCTACAGGAGCAGGGAGCAACCACACAGGAACAGAACTGAAAGGGTTCATAACTGCCAGCTGTGCACCACAGAATTTTTATCTTTTACCTTCTTAAAACCAGAAGCAGAGTAATGATGGCTCATGCTGGAGACAGCACTGGGGTCACAGGATCACACATTTAGAGCCAGAAGGGCCCTTTGAGGCCATCAGGTCCATCCCCCCTAAGATGAGGAAACTGAGGCACAGAGAGGCTACGTAATTTGCCTAGGGTAACACAGCTAGTAAATGTCTGTGGTGGGATTTGAACTCTGGTCCCCTATCCATTATCCATAGCATTGTCAGACTTAAGTAGAACCAGATCCTGCAACACTGGTGACTTGGAAAACCACAAATTAACATCTGTGTTGTATTATATTTGCATTTTGTTAAATAATTCCCAGCTACATTTTAATCTGGTTCAGGACCCACTCTGAGTGGCTGTGGAATTGAGTTTATTGCCTCTCAACAGGACCTGGGTTTAAATCCCACCTCTGACACTACCTATGTGATGCACTGGACAAGCTGCTTAACCTCCCCAGGGCTCAGTTTCCTCGTCTGTAAAATGGGGGAGGACCTGGATTCCATGGCTTCTGTATCTATGATTCCCTGATGCAATGGTCTCCTCCCACCCCCAACAGCTGGGTATATTCCCAACCCTAACAGCATGCACGCATGCACATGCATGCATACACACACACACACACACACACACACACACACACACACACACACGCACACACACATACACACACACACACACCCCATGCCCTAACCTTGCTACAGCCTGAATCTGCATCCTGCATGTATGGGGGAAATTGGGCAACTTTCATTCCATCTTCTTCTTGTAGCTGCATAAAGAACAGATTGAATCTGTAAACATTGGAGGAACTAAAATAGTGATTAACGGTAGGAGCTCAGCTGCCCTCTCCCTAGTGTTGTGGCCTGAATCTGCAAGACTGCTGTGCTGTGCCCTGACCTTTCCTCTCCTCTCCTCACTTCTCTTCTGGAGAAACTGTGTGCTGACCACAAACCCCAACTAAGCACCTAGAGGAGCTGAACTGGGAATCCTGCAGCCAAAGTTCCCATTGACTTGGGAAGAATCTGACCCACCTTCCAGAGAGTGGGGAGCAGAGATCCCCTATTCTTTGGTCTGTGTGTGGCCTGCCCTGGAACATCTCTCTCTCTCTCTGTCTCTCTCTCTCTCTCTCTCTCTCTCTCTCTCTCTCTCACTCACTCTCACTCTCACTCTCACTCTCTGCAAACTGGACCTACTGAGGAGTGGCCAATTTCTGTCATGCTGAGGGTGTGGTTGACATGTCCATAGCCTTAAATGCAGAGGTGATAGAAAGAGGGAAAGTAGGGGTGGGGAAGAAGAGAAAGGAGGATTCTGGGACCCCAGGGATATCCATTCAACCTCAGATTAGAACTACTTTTAAGTGTTTCCAGCCCAAAAGGTAGAGTCTGAATGCCAGAAATGGGAGGAATAGAAGCCACTGAAAATGGAAGGAATGAAGTATCAAGGAATTCATTAAGCATGGCCCCTCCACAACATTCTGGCCTGGGAGCCTTTGAGTTTCATTTCTTGATATCTAGAGTGTGTCTCCCAATAGTTAGAGCCCTGGACTTGGAATCAGGAAGACCTGAATTCAAATCCTGCCCTTGACACTGTAACTATTCAAGTCACTCAATGGTTTTTTCAGCCTGATTTCCTTATCTGCAAAATGGGCATAATAATAGCAAGGTTGTCAAATACAACACTATTTGCAAGCCACTTTGCAAATTCAAAGCACTGAATAAATGTTCCATGTTATTATTACTCCTGAAAACCCTCTGTCTCTAAGACTATCCTGCAAGAGTTCTCCAAACTAGCTTTCACTGCTATACACACACACACTCAGCCATAAAATGGTTTGGAACCATATCCAAAGAATGATGCTTCATCTACCATTCTTGTCTTATTAAGGGCAAGGTCTGCCTTCAGGTACACCTTGCCATCAGAGTGCAGGTCTTGCTCAGAGGACCCCAGTTTTATTAGTGCTCAAGCCATCCTCTCGTGACTGAGGAGACTCATGACTCTGGCTGTGTCCAAAAGACCTAGGTGTTAATAGTAAAGAGAGGTAAGGGAATGTTCCTGATTGTTATTTCCCTTGTGGATACCTCCCCAGCCATCTCCTCACTCACACTAAGTCCTGCGTGTGTGTGTGTGTTTATTATATGTATGTGTTTTTGCATATGTATTTACACTTGTATTTTGTATGTATATGTTTGTGTGGACAGTCTGCATCAAACGGCAAATTCCAAGGCTCATCTACACCAGCACTGTCAATGTTGCATTTGGAGGAAAGCCCATTGAGCAGGGCGATGAAGACTCCGTGCCATATTTCCCACTTGAGAAGGTACCAAGCTCCTTGGGATTAGAGGACTGGGCTGGGGAAAGGGTAAAGCCACCATCCTATTTGAAATGATGCAAACTTCTTTCCTTTACCTACTCTCTTACCCCTGTCCCACTGTTTGAAGCTGAATAATTAGGGCCAGCTAGGTGATACAGTACATAGAGCACCAAGCCTAGAGCCAGGAAGTCCTGAGTTCAAATCTGGCCTCAGACACTTGCTAGCTGTGTGACCCTGGACAAGTCATTTAACCCTGTTTGCCTCAGTTTTTTCATCTGTAAAATGAGCTAGAGAAGGAAATAGCAACCACTCTAGGCTCTTTGCCAAGAAAACCCTAAAAGGGGTCATCACAAAGAATCAGAAATGACTGAACAACAACAATTAGGAGACAGTCTTAAAAAGTTTTCCAAAAAACATGTCTATGTCCCCCTCCCACCTCGCCCCCAACCAAATAAATTCCAGTGGTTCCCTTTTACTTCTCAAATCAAAATATAAACTCCTCTAGTTGGCATTTAAAGCTCTTCACAACCTAGCACCATCCCACTTTTCAAACTCTCTTATATATTTTTCCCTTCCCTGTACTCTGCTGTCAACCATACTGGCCTATGTGCTGTCACACACCACAATCCATCTCCATGTCTTTGTACTGGCTGTTTCCTCTGCCTGTAATACTCTCCCCACTCAGCTCTGCCCCTTGTTTCCTTCCAACCTCAGTTCAAATAGCACCTTTTCCCTATTCCTGCCCCACACTACCACTTTCCAACACCCCCACCCCCACCAGCTACTAACATCTTCCAAGGTTATCTTGTCTTTGCTTTATATATTTTGTATATGGCTACAAATGTTTTATATATATGCAAATATATTATACATCTGTGTGTGTATACATGTGCCTTCTGTTAGTTTCCTACCCCAGCCACCTTACGTGCTATTTTGTTTCTTTCTGGAGTCTCACTATCTCTCATGCATCCTTCCCCCTTCCCCCATAGCCAAGCTGCTGCCAAATCCTGCCGGTTTCCCCTCTGTGGACATCTCTTGAATATACTCCTTCTCTCCTCTAACACTGCCACCTCTTCTACCCCTCTACTGCTCTCATCTCATCATGCCTGGATCATTGCAGTAGCCTGCTGATGGGTCTAGCCTGCCTCTGGTCTCTCCCCACTCAAGTCCATCCTCCATTCAGCCACTAATGTGATTTTCCTAAAGCACAGGTCTGACCACATCGACCCCCTACTCCATAAACTCTAGGGCTTCCTACTGCCTCCAGGAACAAATACAAAATGCTCTGCTTGTCATACAAAGCCCTTCATAACCTAGAGCCCTCCTACCTTTTCAGTTTTCGTACACCTTATTCCCTGCACATATTCTTCATTCTGGTGACACTGCCTTCCCGGTTGTTACACAAACAAGAGACTCCCTCTCTTGACCACGGGCATTTTCTCTGATTGTCCTCCTTTGTCTGGAACAATCTTCCTCCTCCACTCTGACTACTGACATCTCTGGCTTCCTTTAAGTCCCAACTAAAATCCCATTTTTAACTAGATATTTTTTAACACATATATTCTTTCCCAACCTCTCTTAATTCTAGTGCCTTCCCTCTATTAATTACTTTCTATTTATCCTGCATATAGCTTGCTCTGTGTGTGTGTGTGTGTGTGTGTGTGTGTGTGTGTGTGTGTGCGCGCGCATGTTGTCTCCCCCATTAGATTGTAACCTCCTTGCAGTTAGGGAATGTCTTTTGTTTCTTTTTGTATCCCTTAACACAGTGCTTGGTACATAGTGTTTAATAAATGTTTACTGACTGATTGATTGCTTTCTTTGTACCCTCAGTACCTAGGACAGTTCCTGGCAAATTGTTGGTGCTTTATAAGTATTTATAAGTATAATTGATGAAGACATGAAGTACCATGGTAGAGGATCCATCTCTGTAAGGGATTATAGGGTCTTGAACTGTATGAGTCATACACCCTCCTCACTCTAACAGCAACCGAGAAATTTGCTCTTAATTCAGAAGTTACGTTCAGCAAAACCCAAAGAGAAGTAGATCCAGGTTACTGCCGCTACCCTGTTCCCTGACCTTTGGCTGAACTATAACTCTGGAGTCTCACATTAAATATGATTGTCGCCCCTTATCAGCAAGAGAGCTGATGGGAAGCTTAGTTTTTCCCAACTGGAAAAAGGGACTGAAGGATCATGGGCAGTGGAAATCCAAGAACTTTTGGGGTGTGGATCAGGTTCTCACTAGGCCAGCTACCAGCCAATTGCAAGGGAAGGGCACTGCTACCCCAAATTGTATATAATCATGAGCGGTTAGAGCCTTGTCTGCTTCCCTGATCTACTTAAGGAGTGACCTACCTGTGTGGAATTTGTTGCTGTACTAGGACCTGTCAAATTTATCCCCTCTGTACTTCATCCTCCTCCTCTACCTCACCACTGCCTGGCCAACTGACATCTCTCACCCTCAGGAGTTCCTGCTGTCTCTAAACCTGGTTTACTTGCTGTCTATACATAACATAAATACTCAGTTTTGTTTCCAGACATTTATACTTAACTACAAATTTATAATGGAATGTTTTCTTTCTCCTCTCCTCCTTTCCTCTCTTCTTTCTCCTCTCTTTTTCTCTCTTCTCAAATCTTCCTTCCCTCACCCCCATATGCAGTCTCAGCTGCCAGGTCCTATTATTTCTATCTTTATAACACCTCTCAAATACTTCCCCTTCTCTTCACACAAATGGCCACTACTCTAGCTCAGGCCCTCTTTACCTTTTGCCTAAATTAGCCTCCTAAGTTGTCTTCTTGCTTCTAGTCTCATTTCTTTCTAATCCATCTTCCACAAAATTGCCAAAATAACCTTAAAGCACAGGTGCAACTATGTCACTCCACTACTCAAGGAATTTTCAGTGACTATTTGGTGTCTCTGGTATAAAATACAAATTCGTCAGCCTGGCATTTAAGGACCTTCATAATCTGGCTTCAGCCTACTTTCCCACAGTCTCATCACTCCCTTTAATGCACTTTGTTCCAGTCAAAATGGCCTTGAACTTAGACTTCATCTCCTGCTTCCATGAACAAAATGCCCCCTATGCCTGGAATGCACTCCTTCTTCATCTCTGCCTCTCAGAATCCTTTTCTTCCTTTAAGGCTCAGCTCAGGTACCATGTCTTCTGGAAGGCTTCCCTGATCCCCTTAGATGTTAGTACTTTCTAGTGCCTCAAATGATATTATATTTACTTATGTATGTGTTGCATCCTTTCAGTAGAATGAAATTTCCCAGAGGGAAGGGACAGCTTTGTTTTTGTCTTTCTAACCACAGTGCCTTGCTTATAGTTTTTATACATTTTTTTAAAAAATTGAATTAAATGGCAATATTAGACTTGGAGGTAGGAAACCTAGGTTACTCCTTACTGACTATATAGCCTAACCTCTGATCCCCAGTTTCTTCATCTGTTAAATAGGGCTAATATTACTTGTACTAGCTACCTCATAATATTGCTATAAAGAAATCATGTTGTAAACTATAAAATGCTATATAAAGATAAACTATTGGGAAAGGAGAATTTCATCTGTTCCCTTAATTTGGCACAGAATAGCACCAAAAGCAGCCTGGCTAGATTGGGAAGTGAGACAAAAGCTAAAATAACTTTATAAACTGTAAAGCATTATTTATATAATTATATAACATAATATTTATATATAATAACATATATTATATAATTACATGATATGATATAATATAATGTGAATCATTAAGGATTTAAAGGATCAATTTATCTATCCCCCTGATTCTGTACAGGACAGCTTCCCAGCATAGCCTAGACAGATAGGGAAGGTGGGCAAAAACCTTCAAATAGTTCATACAGAAGGGGTGCCCCATATAGTATGTTTGAAAATAAGAACAAAGTGGGGGCAGCTAGGTGGCACAGTGGATAGAGCATCAGTCAGGAGGACCTGAGTTCAAATCCGGCCTCAGACCAAACACTTGACACTAGCTGTGTGACCCTGGGCAAGTCACTTAACCCCAATTGCCTAAAAAACAAACAAAAAAAAAAGAAGAACAAAGTATGGGAAAGGAAGTAGAAGATTCAATCACCTCCCAAGGTTTCATCTCATTTCCCAAGCTGCAGCTGCCTCTTTACCACAGTCTCCCCAAGAATACTCCTAGTATGTGAGCAGTAGATATAGTTACAGGTGAAGATAATGATGGAAGAAGGCAGCCCTCATTACTGACCTGCCCTATGGCTCTTTTCTCCCTGCTTCAGCACATTGACCACTATTCACGGACCAAAGCCATCGCAGACCAGCTGATCCTCACATCCAATGGAACCCCACTTCCTGGTATGATGTGGACAAGGCACATTTGTGTCTATGTGGAGATAGAAAGAGGAAATCACCAGAAGACATGGGGAGTGAACTTTGCTGCCCCAGAAATGTTCTCAGTTTGTTTTAAACTGATTGCAGAATTTGAGAGTTGGGGGGCAGCTAGGTGGCACAGTGGATAGAGCACTGGCCCTGGAGTCAGGAAGACCTGAGTTCAAATCTGGCCTCAGACACTTGACACTTACTAGCTGTGTGACCTTGGTCACTTAACCCCATTGCCTACAAAAAAAAAAAAGAATTTCAGAGTTGGAAGGGAGCCCTGAGTTCATCTGGTCCTACCACAACACTGAGACCAGTGCATGATCATCCAGGTTTTGCTTGAAGACTCCTACTAACTCAGGAGGAGGCTCATTCCACTTCTGAACAGCTTTGTTAAAAAGTTTTTCCTTATTTCAAGCCAAAACTTGCCTTGTTGTAGCTTCCACCCCTTGATTTGTGTTCTGCCCTCTAGGACCAAACAAAACAAGCTTATCCCCCATCCACATGACAGCTGCCATCCCTTCCGAGCCTTCTCTTCTCTAGACTTCACACCCCAGTACTTTTCAAATGATCCTCATACAGACAGTACTCAAAGATCTTCACCATCCATTTTGCCCTCTGGATACTCTCCAGTGTATCAACATCCTTCCTAAACAGAACTACATTACAGTATTGAGACTCATTTTTGGCTCTAAATTATAAATCCTGGATTTCAGCCCCATCCTCCAAAAGAATATCAGCCAAAATATTGGATGTGACGCTATTGCTATTGGGGCGTGCGTGTGTGTGTGTGTGTGTGTGTGTGTTGTAGCAGCTGATTGCATCTTCCCCTCCCCCAAACCACAATTCTAGTGAAAGAGGAGTAAAAATTTCAGGGGTGATGACAGATGCAGACAATTCCAACTGCACTTCCCAATGAAACAAAGTAGGAGTGCCGGCTCCTTTTCCTGATCCCAGGGTATCCCTCCACTCTCAGTTACCGATCTCATTTTTAAATCTAGCTTTGCTATTGCAGGGTTACTCTCCTGCCCAAGCAAATGCAGCTTCTGGCTCATACTTCCCTCTTCAACCCAGCAGCTTCTGCGGCAGACACCTGATCCTCCTGCTTAGAATTATTTATCAGAGCATCCCCTGAGTTTTCCATGTTAAGGAGAGTCATGTATGCCCTACCAAGCTGTCTGCTTACCTGGGCAGCATGCTCCCCAACAATGAATATAAACTGCAACCTAATCCCTGTGCCCAGATGACCTAGAGTTTAAAATTAGACATGAGCCATTTACAGAAAGAATGTTCCTTACCTAATCACTAACCAGGGATGCAGCCCCTAGGGGTCACCCAGAATAGTTTCTACCCCTGGCCTTTCCCAGAAGGAATAGCATCTATCAAAGCTTGGCCCTACCCGACCTATTTGACACCTGGAGCTTCAGGAAATCTTCCTTGATGCCTTGTGACTCCCTGTCCTCCAAGGACAGGAACTTTTTAGGAGGTCACTTAGGTCACTTTCTAGGTGGTCATCTCCAAGAAAGCTAGGCTCTATGGGGATTAAAATTGTTCAACCTACAATAAGAGACTGTGGCAGAGCTCTGAGCCAGTGGTTCTTTAGTAAAGGGTCCATGGTCCACTCTAATGAAGTGGACCTCAGATATTCCTCATGATCTGAGATGCCCTCTTCTTCCAGGGCCTTATTTTTATAAGGTTTGATACCAGATTTGATACCTGAACATTCTAAAGAGGTTATACAAAGTACAGAATCCCATTGGTTTATAGATCTTGTTTTGTGGGTCAAAAAATGATGCATCAGCTAGAAATGGTATGTCAGTCAGAGGACCTCTTGTCAGGTGAAGCACCTGCTCATATTGGACAAGAAAGAATGGTCCAGAGGTACAAAAATAAGTTGGGGGATTTTCCATGTAATTGGGTCACCTCCACCACATTGGGCTTGGTCACCATAACAAGGAAAAACAAGGGTAGAGGGGCTCTCATTAGCTTCCTATGATGAAGCAAGTAAACTTACAATCTGCAGCTCACAGCTTTGAGGCCTAATACACAGAGCTTATCATCATTACTCCTATGGAATCATAGCAAACTGATTAATACCGATTGGAATAGAGTAGGGGTCCAAATGAATTCTTTCTCACAGTTCTATCCCTGGCTTGATCATTAACTCACTGTGTGACCTTATCTTCAAAACAGGAAGGAAAGTGGTGAGGACTAGGGTTGGACTACATGACCTCTAGGGTCCCTTCCAGCTCCAAAATTCAATTCTTCTATGATTCACATGGGTGGATTCAGCCAGTGTGTGGTGGTGGGGATGTTAGGTGTAGATCCATAGTGATTTTCATTATGCTTTCTAGTACCTTCCCTTCTATGATTATTCTATAAGTAAAACAATATTTCAGAAGAATCTAGTCCCTTTTGAGTGAAGACAACACTGCTAACTCATCACCAGACCCACCAAAGATGTACAAAGATGTATGAAGAGTTATGTCTTTTGTTGTGAGGATGAATTTTCACTCTCTTATGACAAGTGGCATACATCTGCAAGACAGCTGGTTGGGGGGGGTGAGTACTAACTGTGAGCTATAATGAAGCTACACAGAAGTGAAGCCCATGACCTTGGACCTCCTTTGTAAACATTTTCCACTCCAAGAACAATGGGGACTGGCATGACTCCTTCCCAGTCCCCACAGAATCAAACAGAAGACCAGGGTAGAACTGTCCATACTCCCTGAAACGCTATTCTATACAGACCAAAAATGCTGCCCTTTTATATGCCATTTCCATAAAGGACTAAGCACAGGTACCCTGGATATAATGAGCTTGGTCAATGAGCAAATCTTTAAATGGGGTGTTCTGATTAGTCCTTTCCCAAGATGGAATGTGGTCTTGACTAGTCATTCTCTCATTCTGGGGGCCGTCTGAATGCCTTCTTCTCTGTATCGTAGGAGGAGGTACCCTTCGAACATGTGTCCTTCGTCCCCCAGGCATCTATGGACCAGAAGAACAGAGGCACCTTCCCCGAGTGGTGGTAGGTACTCTTGTCCTAGCAGCTACAATGGTATCAGAAGGCAAACTCAGTATCAAGAACACAGCATTAGAGATACAAAAAAAGGCCAATATAAAAAATTTCCAGTCCCTGCCTTTAAGGAACTCACATTATAATGGGAGATGACATGTAAATAACCTAGATACATGCAAGAATAAATGAAGGTAATCTGAAAGGGAGAGGAATTAGTCAATAAGCAATTATTAAGTGCCTACTGGGTGCTAGGCATGAGGATACAAAGAAAGGCAAAAGATATTTCTTGATATCAGGAAATACAGAAATCCTGCAGATAATAGGATTTGTACTGAATCTTGAAGGAAGCTAGAGAATCTAAGAGGAGGTGAAGGGTCAGAGCACTGTGGTCATGGCAGACAGCCAGTTCAAAGGCATAGAGATGGGAGACTGAGTGTTATATTCTGAGAACCATAACTAGGTTATGGCTAGATCACAGATTGCATGGAATACAAAAAATGGTACAAAAAGGCTAGAAAGTTAGGAAGGGGTCAGGTTACAGAGGGCTTTAAATGCCAAAGGACTTTTGGCATATTTGTTCCTATAGATAATAGGGAGCTTTGTTCAGTCATTGTGCAACTCTTTGTGACCCCATTTGGGGTTTTCTTGGCAAAGATACTAGAGTGGTTTGCCATTTCCTTCTCCAGCTCATTTTACAGATGAGGAAACTGAAGCAAGTAGGGTTAAGTGACTTGCCCAGGGTCACACAGCTAGTAAGTGTCTGAGGCAGGATTTGAATTTAGTAAGATGACTCTTGGACTCCAGGCTCAGCACTCTGTGCACTATGGTGCCACCTAGCGGCACTAATAGGTGGCTACTGGAGTTCAAATCTAATGGGGGCAAGGAGTACACAAATAACTATGAAAGAAGGAAAATTAGATAAGCACAAAAGAAAGGTTCGCTCAAAGTGCTATGAGAAATTGGAGGAAGGATGGATCATTATTAGCTGGGGCAGTGGGAGAGTCAGGGAAGGCTTTCTGGAGGAGGTGGTATCTGTTACTGGGGATACAAAGAAAGGCAAAAGGAGAAAGGAGACATTTTGGAATAGTCACTGATGAAGACTAGGGGAGGATAGAAAGATTATAAGATAAATTAAAGGACTGAAGAATAAAAAGAGGCCCAATTAATTGGGGAATGGCTGAACAAGTTGTGGTAGATGAATGTAATGGAATACTATTGTTCTATAAGAAATGATGAGCAGGCAGACTTCAGAAAAACCTGGAAAGACTTGTATGGACTGACACTGAGTGAAGTGAGCAGAACCAGGAGAACGTTGTACACAATAACAGCTACATTGTGCGATGACTAACCCTTCTCAGGAATACAAAGATCTAAGACATCTCCAAAGGCCTTGTGATGGAAAATGCTATCCACATCCAAAGAAAGAACTATGGAGTTTGAATGCATATCAAAGCATACTATTTGCTATTTTTTCCTTCTGTTGTGTTTTGTTTCCTCTTTCTGGTGGGTCCTCCTATTGGTTCTAATTCTTACTTACAATATCACTAATGTGAAAATATGTTTAATACGAATGTATATGTAAAGCCTATATCAGATTGTGCGCCATCTTGGGGAGAGTGGTGAGGAGGGAGGGGGAGAAAAATTTTTAACTCAAAAGCATATGGAAGTGATTGTTGATAAATCAAAATACATTTTTTTAAAAAATAAGAAAGCAAAAAAAAAAAAGAATGAGAGGCCCAGCTTTGAATAGATAACATAAATTTTTAGTAAATAGAATCAGATCAGATGGGTGACTTCCTCTAATTATATTTAGCAGCACGGGAGTAAACAGAGATTGAAGTGGAAGCAAAACCAAGCACTTATGAAGTACCCTACCATGTGCCAGGCACTGTGCTAAGCTCAGGGGATAAAAAAAAATTTAAATAAAAAAAGGCAAAGACAGACCCTGCCCCCCAAAAGTTCACAATCTAATGGAGGGGACAACATACAAACAACTATATACAAACAAGATATTCATAGGATAAATTGGAAATAATCCCAGAGGGAAGGAATTAACATTAGGAAGGACTGCAAAGGGCTTCTTGAAGAAGATGGGATTTTAGCTGAATCCTGAAGGAAGCCAGTAGGTAGAAGAGATGAGAGAGGGAGTTCCAGGCATGAGGGACAGCCAATAAAAATGTCTCATTGGAGGACAACACAGCAGCTCATGGTTAGAGGAAGGCAGGGAGGAATCCTTCAGTAGGACCCTTTAAGGGTCTTCTGACCTTGTCTTTTTGAGTTGGCAAAAACACTGGACCCAGACTATGCAGGAGGCCCTGAACATGTCAAGGATGAAGAGCCCTACCTTGCCAGTGACATACTTTGTTGTATGCATCCCAAACTGGACTCCCTGTGTGTCCTTGGGAGACAAGACAGGTGCCAGTCAGTCAGCACTAGACTGCGACATTGCTTGTGCATCTGGCACCTTTGTAGGTAAGCAGACCATCCTATCTTCATGGTCCAGCAGTTCGAAAGGGAAAAGAATGCTGCTTTTGCCATCTTAATCATTCATGATTTCTCCTCCCTTGCCACTCCCATTTAGGAGGAGGTTTCTATTTCTCCCTCATTCCTTTGTTTTAATCTCATAAATATGCAAGCTTCTGTTTGGATTGTGAACTCTGTGCTTGCTTAGGGTTCCAACTGCAAGTTCATTTCTCTTGTAATACATCTAGTTGCAATGTGATGTCTCAAGGACTTGTGATGTTGTGGTTAACAGACCTGAGGGTCCCCTGACTCTCCTATTCTAAGCTGCCCAAACATTCCAGAGGTCAAATCTGCGCTCTCCCTCTCCCACTTTCAGGGTAGCATCAGGAAGAGACTGTTCACCTTCAAATTTGGGGATCCCAGGACACGTATGAACTGGGTCCATGTGCAGAACCTGGTCCAGGCACACCTTCTGGCTGCAGAGGCACTCAGTGCAAACAAAAGTTACATTGCGGTAAGTTCTGGACCCCTTCCTCTGTGTCTACCTGAAGAAGGAGAAACCTCTATCAGCTGAAGGGAGGGAGGGTCTTGTCAGGTCAAGATTCCTGAAGAAAATGGCACTCCTTCCTTACCTTTGCTTCATAGAGTTCTTTTCCTTTAAGATGTAGCTCAGACATCATTTCTGTAGGAAGTCTTTCCTGTTCTACCTGCCCCCAAATATTAGTCTCTTCTCTCTCATAGTACTTGTATTTGACTATTTTGTGTGTGTGTATATATACACACATATATATATACATATATACACATATACATATGTATGCATTTATTAAGTTTATATTTATGTTGTAAATATTTTTATATATGCCCTATCTGTAAAACAGGGTAGTTAGGTGGCATAGTGAATAGAGTGCTGGGCCTAGAGTTGGGAGACTTATCTTCCTGAGTTCAAATCTGGCCTCAGACACTCACTAGCTGTGTGACCCTGGGCAAGTCACTTAACTCTGTTTGCCTCAGTTGCCTCTTCTGTAAAATAAGCTGGAGAAGGAAATGACAAACCACTCCAGTATTTTTGCCAAGAAAACCCCAAATGGAGTCACAAAGAATCAGAAATGACTGAACAACAATAACAAATCTGTAAAAGAAGGATAATAATAGCATTTCACAAGGCTGTTGTGAGAATAAAATGAGATAATATTTGTAAAGCACTTTAGCAAAATGTCTGGCACATATTAGACACTTAATAAATGTTTATTCCCTTTCTTTCCCCTTCCTATCATAATTTAAGCTCCTTAAGTAAAAAGCTTGTTCAAAAAAATAGTTAATAAATTTGTTTGATTGAAATGGAAGGTTTGTCTAAGAAACCAGTAGGATATTATGGCTGCTTAAGGCATTTAATAGAAATACAACGTTTCCTCAATAACTTCAGAATATTATTCAAGTGACTCATTAGGTAAAACATTGAAAATCCACAAAACCACATAATTAACATCACAAATATTTTTATTATAAAAAATTATATAGAATAATTTTATTATTTCCACTTGTATCCCTAGTTCCTAGCACATTGCCTAGCACATAGTAAGTGCTTAAATACTTCTTAATCCATTGAATGGCTTCGGTTGTACCTTGAAGGAATGGAGAGAAGGATTAGGAGGTCACCAGTGATCTTAGAGCAGCTTCACTAGGTAAAGTCATTTACACAAAGACAAAATATCGGAGCTGGAGGGAGCCTTAGAAATCACCTAATCCAACTGTCCCCCACCCTCAAATGAATAAGAAAGCATTTATTAAGTAATTACTGTGTGCCAGGCACTGTGCTAAACACACACAAATACAAAAGCAAAGAAATTCCCTGTCCTCGAGGATCTTATAATCTAATAGGAAGAGCTAATATATAGAATACAGTGGTAGCTAGGGCTGGGAAGTCAGAGGAATTTTGAGTGGACCCATAAGGCAGCTAAAAGACATTTCGTAAAACAATGGGAAGGTTGATGTAACTACTTGTTTCCAAAGCAAGAGTGGAAGGGGGTGACGAGTGTGGAAGAAAGTTGGCAGGGATGAAGCATGGGTAGGTGAGACAGGGAATGGGGGTGTCTGGAGCCAGCTAAATATAATGAGCTCTCACCTATCAGTGGGGCAGGGCAGCTAGATGGCACACTGAATATAGCACTGGGCTTAGAGGCAGAAAGACTCCTCTTTCTGAGTTCAAATGTGGCCTCAAACATTTACTAAATGTGTGACTCTGGGCAAATTATTTAACCCTGTTTGCCTCAGTTCTTCATCTACAAAATAAGGTGGAAAAAGAAATGACAAACCATTCCAGTATCTATACCAAGAGAACCCCAAATGGAGTCATACACTCAGACAGAACTGAAAAGTGACTCAACACCCATCATTATACCCATTTTACAGATAAAGAAACCAAGACCCAAAGAAGTAAAATCACTTGCCCAAGATCATAAAGCTGGCTAATGGTGAACCAGAACTAGAATCCAGGTCTCCCAATTTTTAGTGCAATTACACTAATTTAAACTATAGCAAATATACCAACAGAATTGGGCCATAGAGAGGATATAGTGAGCTCAGACTTAGTCATAGGTTATATAACCTTGAGTACTGAGTTTTACTGAATATAAAAGCTATGACCCTAAGCCTTTAATATCTCCTCCACCCAAAGCAGGAAGAAAAATAAAAAGTATCACATACTAAAAAATTGTTCCACATAACCCAGAAAAGCAGAACAATTCAACCTATTCAAGCAGCCAATCAATCAATAAACATTTATTAAGCACCTACTATGTTCCAGGCACTGGGCTAAGCACTGGAGATACAAATAATGAAAAATTCTACTCTCAAGGAGTTTACATTCTAAAAGAGGAGACAAGTGTAGATAGAGAGATAGATGATATAGATCTAGTTGTAGGTATGGATAAGTATATATACATATACATAAATGTAGATGTAGAGACAGATATAGATAGGGATATAGATGTGGATATAGATCTAGGTATAGGTATGGATATGGATAGGGATATGAATATACATTTAGAATAGATACAGATCTAGATATAATTAAATATTATATATAACATATGTCTATGCATGTAACACTCCCTCTGAGCAACTTTCCCAATTTACATTCATATTCTTTGCTTGACTTCCTATAAGGCGGTTGCTAATTCTGGGTCACTGTGCCTATTGCACCCCTCCTAGACTACTTCCCACAGGGCAGCTACTACCTAAGCTCCCCATCAAGTCACTCCATTTGAGACAGTTAGCTCTTCACAAAGGCATTTACTTGGAAGGCATAGTGAAAACAGTAGCTAAAAAACATTCCTCCCATAAAACTGGAGCATACTTCCCACAAATATACATAGCATATATGAAAAGAGTGGGCACAAATTTGAGTACAACAGATAAGAGGGAACACATGACCTAAGCATCTCAGCACTCTGGTTGCCAGGCCTTGATAACATTTCTCTCCATAAGGATGCCTCACATAGTTCTGCCCTGGGCACAGAATCTCTGCTGGACTGGTTTCCCTCCAAAACATGACACCCAATTGTTGGGCCTAGGGTCTACAACCAGCTTCCTTCTCTGATGCCAGAGGTCAAACTCCTAGAAACTACTACCTCCCTCAAGTAACTGCCTCTCTGAATCTGTGTGTCTGGAGTGTGAATCTTTGTTCCCTAAGTAGCTCCACTCCAAAGTGATATGGATGGGTTGGGGAGGAGGGGAGGAAATCTCCTCCTTCCTCCAAAGAGTAATTTCCTTTTCAGGGGTCAGGTTCCCCCTCTATTTCTTTGTCTTGATAATTACTGCCTGCAGAGCTCAAAACTCAGCCTTTTAATGGCACTCAGGGGCATGGCCATTTTCTCCTCAGAGTGTTCCATACTTTGTATAGGGATTGCAAGGGAGAGCCTTGATAACACATCAATAATTCATTATATCAATTATTCATTCTTTGCTTTCTGGGATTACTTCAACTACAGGGGAAGGAAAAGTAAAATTCTTCCCTTTTGTCCTCTTATATACAATCAATCAATCAATAAACATTTATTAGGCACTTACTATATGCCAGGAACCCTGCTAAGTATTGGTGATGAAAAAGGAGGCAAAAGACAGTCCCTGCCCTAAAGGAGCTTACAATCTAATGGGAGAGACAATATGCAAATACATACAAAGTAAGCTATATTCAGGATAAAAAGGAAATAAGTAACAGAGGGAAGGCACTAGAATTAAGAGGGGTTAAGAAAGGCTTCCTGTAGGGAGCCTTATATAGAAGAATAAGAATAAAGAAAATAAATACAAACTATACACAAGGTATACAAGGGAGGAGTGGAGGGCACTTCTGTTAGGACAGGGATCTGAATCAGGAAGAAGATGGTGCTTCAGCTTCAAATTCTATAAGGGAGGGTGTGGAGGGAGTGCATTCCCTAACGACTCGTGCAAAAGCACAGGAATGGCAGCTGGAACTCCATGTTTGAGAGAGAGATGATCAGTTTGGTTGGATTGCATAGTGTGGGGGGAATTGGGAGGCATAATAAGCACTGAGGCTGAAAAGAGATTGGGATCAAATTAGGAAGGGCTTTAAAATCTAACCAGAGGGGTTTCTATTTTATCCTAGAGGGGACAGGGTTAGATACAGCGCTAGACCTGAAGTCGGGAAGACCTGAGTTCAAATCCATCCTAAGACACTTACTTGCTGTGTGACTCTGGACAAGTCACCTGACCTCTGTTTGCCTTAATTCACTAGAGAAAGAAATGGCAAAGCACTCTAATATCTTTGCCAAGAGAACCTCATGGACAATACTGGCATGTTATGGTCCATGGGGTCACGAAGAGTTGGACATGACCGAATAACTGAACAACAAGAAGAGGGAATAGGGAGCCACTGGAGTTTATTGAGTAAGGGAGTAACATGGTCACATACTCTCTTAAAGACAATCACTTCGGGGGCAGCTAGGTGGCACAGTGGATAGAGCACCGGCCCTGAAGTCAGGAGGACCTGAGTTCAAATCCGGCCTCAGACCAAACACTTGACACTTACTAGCTGTGTGACCCTGGGCAAGTCACTTAACCCCAATTGCCTAAAAAAAAGGCAAAAAAAAAAACCAGTCACTTCGGCAGTTTGTGGGGGATGGGCTGGAGTAAGGAAACTAACAGGGAAGCCATTGCCATAAACTAGGAGAGAAATGATGTCAGCTTGAACTACGGTGGTAACTTTCCCACGAAGTTCACAAAAGCATCTTTCGTCACCCTGGCTTGAAGTAGTAGTATTCATTTTCAATACATGCTGCTACAGGAACCCAACTCAGAACAAGCCTAGTTGGGTGTCTGAACCACCTGATGTGAACTGTAAATGGGGTGCTGTCATATTGTGTCCCTGACTGGTCTCTCTTCTACTTCTGTCTCAGAGTGGCCAAGCATATTACATCAACGATGGTGAAAGCGTCAACCTCTTTGAATGGATGTCCCCTCTGGTAGGTACCATGTATGCCCACAGATATCCCAGAATACGGAAATTATATATTCCTCCCAACCCCCATTCCTACGGCTGATATTGGACATCAGGGCTACCTGTGTCACTAGGTGGTTCCTGGGTTGCCCTTAAAGAGTCAAAGAAAAATGTTTAACCATAACCCACAAGAATCTTTTTTCCTTCCTGCATCCATCTAGGATTTCCCCAACAAGAGTTGGCCCAGAAGTTGGATGTGATCTTCTTTTTACTGTAAAATTAAGAGCCTGGAGATGGCTTCCTTGATTTATTCAGACACACACCTCTTCTCTTCCCAATCCTGAACTCCAATTTATCTGCTATTTTTCTACACGCTCCAATACCACTGTAAACCAAAAACAGAAACCATGTGGAAAACAGATGTTCACACCCAACTTTAGAAATGATATTTTTCTCCCAACTATGTTACCATGCCTCCACAAAAGTTCCCCAAAGTATTAAAGCATTTCACAATGATGACATTTTCAAAAAGTAAAGACTTCACATCATGGACAGTATCATGATCTATGGGAGGCAATGTTGTACAATGGAAAGGGCACTAACTATAGAGTAAGGACCTGGGTTCAAATCCCACATCTGACACTACCTCAACTGTACAACAAGAGGATTGGACCAGCAGGCTTTAAGGTCCTTCCCAGTTCTAGATCTATGATCCTAAGACATAGTAACATCTCACATTCATTATGATACTATCTCATCACTTATATGTCCCATTTTTAGCAGAGAAATGAATTCTGGAAGATTCTAATTATTTTAAAGAAATGAATTTCTATCTGCCCTTTCTAGACTTATAGCAGAGCAGTTAAGTGGCACAGTGGACAGGGTGTCACTCCTGATGTCAGGAGGACCCCAGTTCAAATACGCCTTCAGACACTTACTAGCTGTGTGACCTTGAGCAAGTCACTTAACTCTGCCTCATTTTCTCATCTGAAAAATGAGCTGGAGAAGGAAATGTAAACCACTCCAGTATCTTTGCCAAGAAAACCCCAAAAATGAGATCACAAAGAGTCAGACCGCTACTGAAAAACAACTGATCAAGAACAACAATGCCTACAGCATGTGCTCAATTCCTTAGTATCAAGATATTGGGATGGCCACAGGGCTTTAGGCTAGAGGCAGGAGTCCAGGGTCTGAGGCAGGTCCTGCATTTTTTAAATTAAATTTTCTTTTCTGCTTTCAATTTATCTGCCTTCTCTCCTTCCCACCTTTCCCTCCTCATTGAAAAAGAAGGAAAAACAAAACTCTTCTAACAAATAAACAGATAGATATAGTCAAGCAAAACAAATTCCCCACATTAGCCATATTAAAAAAAAATATGTATGTTGCAATCTTCACTCCAAGTTTATCACTTCTCTGCCAGAAGGTAGCTTACATGTTTACATCATCATGAGTCCTCTAGAACCATGATTAGCTGATCAGAGTTCTCAAGTCTTTCAAAGTTGTTTGTCTTTACAATATTGCTATTATTATATATATAAATTGTTCTCCTGATTCTACTCACTTCCCACTGCATCAGTTCATACAAGTGTTCAGTCTTCTCTGAGTCTGCCCCCTTCCTTATTTCTTATAGCACAATAATATTTCATCACATTCATATACCCTAACTTGTCCAGCTATTCCCAAATAGACACCCCCTCAGTTTCCAGTTCTTTTCTACCACAGAAAGAGCTGCTACAAATATTTTTGTATCTATATATCCTTTTCCTCTCTTTGAACTTTTTGCTGTACAGACCTAATAGTGGTGTCACTGGGTCATAGCTTAGTAACTTTTTGGGCAAAGTCCCAAATTGCTTTCCAGAATGGTTGGACCAGTTCACAGCTCAACCAAAAACGCAGGAAATGTCCTTTACATAGCATGGGGAAGGAAGGAGGGGATCTGGGCTTTGAGTGCCACCACCCCTCCACCTCCTCCTGATCCTCAGCCCTGCAGGGCCCTGAGTTCACTCTGCCCTTTTCCCATTTCCCTACAGTTTGATAAGATGGGATACAGCCGGCCATGGATCCAGATTCCTACTTCCTTGGCTTACCTGGCAGGTAAACAACAAAGATAGTCTGTGTGGGAAGGAAGAGGAAAAAGAAAGAGGGAGAGGTGGGTTACCATTGCAGGGATGAAGGGAACCCATCTACAAGAGTACATAACCTTATAATGACTTTTTTTTTATAATCCTCATGCCTAAGGCTGTGAATGCTTCCCACATGGGGCTTTATCATTCTCTTAGATTTCTAACTACAGTTCTTTTTTTTTAATTAGTTTTTATTGATCTCTCTTGTTTTTATATCACTTTCATTTCTAAATGTATCATTCCTTGGCCTTACCCAGCAGGCCAAATCCAAGCTGTCCATGGAACAAAGAATTTTAAAAAGAAAGAAAAAAGTTTAGCAAAACTAACCATCACATGAAATTGGATGCTACATGAAGTGTTCCCCACCTGTCCCTCCCACCTCTGCAAAGAAGGGAGAGTGGTACATTTTCTCATTTCTTCTTAAGGACCAAATTTTCAACCAGAGGTCTGGTTTTTTTTTCCTTAATGGTGGGGAGGAAGATTTTTTTGTTTCTTTATTTTTTAAATATGGGACATTCCACAAATTTGTGTGCTGTCTTTGATCAGGAGCCAAGCTAATTTTCTGTTTCATTCTAATTTTGTCCATGTGCTGCCAATGTAAGTACTCAACCACAGTTCTGAACAGAAGTTTCAACCTTCTTGACAGATGACTGTGGAGGCAACTGGCAATTTCTGAAACTTCTTCATGTCTCAGATTCACACACCTCTCCACCAGCATACTGTCTCCTTATCCCTCTCCCCATCACTCCTCAGAACTATTACAAGTCAGAAAACCAGGCAACTTTATTAAGCAGAAACAAAAAAAAATGTAAAGAGATCAGGGTTAGATGGGGTTATGGTTACCCTTCTAGATGTATTTAGAGTGTGCATCACCTAATAAAATAGCTAAGTTCCTGAACAGTTGAATGTAAATCAGTTCATATTTTAGGTACACTATTAGAACCCTCTATTTAAAGGGGCTCTCTGGCATATTTTTTATACAAAGGAAGGAATGTTTTACAGAGTAAATAATCATCTCAATTGATGTGTTATAAATATTAGATTTACTTAAAACATAGTATACCTAGCTGTAATATCTAATCACCTCCTGCCCCTATTTCATAGCTGCAGGAATGGAATATTTCCACCTGGCCCTGAAACCCATTTGTGATTTGCCACCTCTGCTGACCCGAAGTGAGGTAACAAACCTGAACTTGTCTTGAAGGCCCTGATTGCTGATTTCCCTCCTTCCTTCCCTTCTTGACCCTCTTTTCCCCTTTCCTCTATTTCTCATCCCTTTGTTCCCGAAGCTCTCATCCTGGGTACATTGCCTGAGATGGTGTCAGATTACACCAAGGACAGTTAGGACAACATCTCTCCTAATTGTTCCTAGAGTGGGTTGGTTACTTTAAATCTCATTTTATTTTTATTGATGTCTTTGGTTTTTACTTCTTGTTCGTTTCTGAATATATTCCTTCCCACTCTTCTACCTAATGAGCCATGCATTGCAACAAAGATTAAAAAAAGAAAGAGAGAAGAAGGCAATCCAGCAAAATGTCTGACAACAGATGCAATATTTCACAAACTAGCTGGTCCTTTAGCAAGGACCTCCACGGGACAGCCTCCCCCTCTGTTCTACCTTATCTCCAGCCAACCCTGTCCACTCTTAGCTCATGCTGTTCCTTCCTCCTGACCTCCAATATAAATCCTACCCATCCATTACACTACACACATTATACTTGATTTTGTCCAAATGACAATAATGTAATCCTTCAAGGCTCAGCTGAAGTCCCACCTTCTCCAGGAAGCCTTCCTAGACCATAACAGCCCATAGAGACTGCTCCATCCTTTAAGCTCCAGTCTCTTACTTACTGAGTTGATGGCACCCCTCAATTTAGTGCTGTTATACTCTAGTACTGATTTCTTAATTATCTCCCATGGATCAATCTCGCCTTCCCAGCTTGAATATGAGTGCCTTGATTTCAAGGACTGTGGTCTTAATGATTCAGTTGATCAATGGGCATTTACTAAGTACCTAATATGTGTCAGGCAATGATTTCGGTGCTGGACTTATAAAAACAAAGAATGAAACCAACCCCGACTAACAAGGATCTTACATTCTGGAGGGGGGCGGAGATGATGACAAATATATATGTAAGTATATGCAGTAGAAATAGAAGAAGAAATACAAAGAATACAGGGTAGTTAATACAAGGTAGTTAAGGAGAGGGAACTAGTCGTTGAGAAGGGAGAGGATCAGGAAAAGCTTCAAGCAGAAGATGGTACCTAAGTTGCACCTTTAAGAAAAGGAGAGATTCGAGAAGAAGGAGTGTATTCCAGGCATAGGAGGTAGCTTAAAAAGGCACAGAGACAGAGATGGGAAATAGAGTGCCATATCCTGATGAGTTAGGAACAGAGAAAAGAACAATTAAGCTGGATTGCACAGTAGGGGAATAATGTCCCAAAAGCTTGGAAAGATAGATTGAGGCCAGGTGGTAAAATCTTTTAAAAGCTAACGAGGGAGTTTATATGTCATTCTAGAGGCCTCTGGAGTTAACTGAATAGGAGAGGGGCAGGGTCAGAGCCTCACAGATCTCCACTTAAGGAAAATCATGTCAGCAGCAATGTGTCCTATGATCAGATTTAGAGCTCAAAGAGATCCCAGACATCCACCTAGTTCAATATGTTTCCCTTGTGCATGATGCTGGGCAAACAGAAGGTGCCCAATAGATAAATTTTCAACAAATTTCTATTGAGTGCCCAGAGCATGCAGGTCACTGTCTGAGGTACTCCTAGATGGGTTGGGGAAGGCATCACGGGAAAAGCTGGAGAACAGGGAGGAATTTTTAAAATTATTACTATTCAACATTCCTGCGCTGAATTTGGTGTCAAAGGAATCACAGAATTTTGGAATTAGAAAAGACATTATTTAGCATCTAGTCCACACCATATCTGGGAAGGAAAATGAATCCCCACTGTATCATATCTAATCAGTACCCACACAGATATGAACACCCATCAACTGCTAAAGCAGCCAATTCTACCCAAGTTCAAATCCTGGCTCTTCCCCTTAATACCTGAATGACCTTGATCAAGTTTCTTTACCTCTGTGGACCTCAGTTTCCTCGTCTGAAAAATGATGAGGTTGAGTTAGATGAGCTAAGGTGTCTTCGAGGTCTAAATCAATGATTCTTTACATCCTCAGCCAAGATATGTGCTGTTCTGGGATGTGGGTGCCCTCTGCTGACCAAACTATGACATAGCACCCATCCTTACTTCCATCCAAGGGATAGCATATGTAATGAAGTGTATTTACAGACCTCTCCTAAACGGTCTGTGAGTAACCTAGGTTCTGGAACATATTCTTGAGGCCTGGCCCTAGCAAGCTTGCAGGAGTGGAGGGTTAGGGGTGGGATGACAAAGGGGAGAGGAGAGAGAGGGAGAGAAAGGGAGAGGGGGAGAGGAGAGAAAAGAAGAGAGTGGGAGACATAGAGAGAGTATGTGTGAGGAAGCTAACTTAGATGGTGCAAGGGGAAATAGCCTCCTCCTTGGCCATCACTGGGATACCAAGAGGATGAATGAATCCAGAGTCAGAAAAGTTGCCATTAGGAATCATTCTTTTATTTGCCATGAACACATCTAAAATATAACTGTGCCCATGGCTGCCCTTGCATAGAAAGTATAGGAAAGACAATGAAATTTTTCTTCTCTACTTGGTCCTTCCTTTTCAGATTTGGACCTCTGGAGCTCCAAGACTCTTTTGTTAATGCTGAAAGGGGCTGAGAGACCGTGAGGCTGAATTAATGTGACATTCTCAAATAAGAGAGATGATATTGGACCACCAGTATAGCACAGTGGATACAGAGTTGTCCTCAAAGCCAGGAAGACCTGGGTTCTAGTCCTGCCTCTGACACATACTGGTTATGTGATCTTGGACAAGTCGCTTAAACTCTCACTGCTCTAGAGAATTCCCTAAGACTATAAATTGCAGAAAAGGTGCTGACCTGAATTGGTAAAGAAAGTTTCCTCATCTGGGAGTTCCCTATGATGAGGCAGATAGGAGTGTTTGAGGCAGATGGAGCAAACAGGATGCAAAATGTGAGATACTGAGATAGAATGCAGGATGTGACCAGCCAGAAAGTGCTGGAGAAGACTATGCATTGAAACCTCCACACCGTGGGATTATCTGCATGCATTCACTTTGGACTACCTGACATTCTAGAAAAATTCTTCCCTTTATCTTTGAATATATCACTGGAAATTAGGAAAATAATTACCTTCTGGAATCTCACATAGATAGTGAATGTGGTAGTTCACAAACCTCCAAATTAACATATATATAAATATATCCTTAGATGAAGCAGACTTGAAGATCACACCCCTATTTTGTGCAGGGATTCCCATTTACTACTCAGTAGCAATTCCACAACACAGAAAATTTCTTGCATAGAGTTGATAAGGATTTGACTAGATGGTTATAATAAAAAACAGTTAACATTCAGATAGCATTTGCACTATGCCCTATGTCCTGTACACTGTGCCAAGCACTTTATAATCATGTGATCCTCATAACAACCCTGGGAGGTGGGTTCTATTATTATCTCCTTACAGAACAGTAAACTGAGGTAAATAGGGCTTTCTTGGGGCCATTCAGCCAATAAATTTCTTAATGCCAAATAGCAAATATCTTTTCCTGTTAAGTTGTAATTTACCATAATATTCCTGATAAGGAGAGCATTCTCAAACTCCATTCTTATTTTCTTCAGTACAAATTTTGGCTTAAATCAAATCTGGATTCATAATCATTAATGGTAATATTTTAATTTCTAAGGCCCAATACTCTTAGCACTTTAAAAGAAAAGATTATTATAATTCACATATTTCCTTTTTTAAAAAAAGACATGTAATGACAATTCTTAGCTCCTAATAACCTTTCCCTCTACTTCCTTAAAGAAATGGACTTCCTTGTCTCTTTTACCTTTGAAACTTATCAGATAAAGAGCTGCCCTAAGCATTCCAGCTCTCCACACCCATCCTCCTGGGAATTTCAAGATGCATATCCTAGGAAATGCATATAAAGTTTTACAAACAATTTGAAATCATACCTGTTATCATCAGGTTAGTTTAAAATGTGTTGGGCTAAAATATCCTACGACTTTTTGGTCCAGGCAAAAAGATCTAAGGAATTTGATTCAATGCTGACAGGGGGTGGCTGGTTTCCCCAGGCAGAAACCCCCAGAGCTTTCAGAGTTACTTAAATAACAATTAAATAATTGAACAGTACAAGGAGATATTTAAGATTTTATATAATAATCACAAATCACAATAACCAATATCTTTACCATAGCCAATATTTATCTAGGGTTAGACTTAATAAGGCCTTCCTACAGATTTACAGGCATCTCTTTTTAAGATCTTGTAAGCCGAATTTGTTTCCATTTTGCAGGAGGATGCCTAGTGGGGAAAGAAATACAAATATAGTGCATAGGTGATGACAAGGAGAGAGAGAAGTCCAAAAGTTTGGAAAGGCTTGTTGGAATTCCCCTTCACAAATCACTTTTCTTGATCCTCTAGATTATACTGAGACCAGGCCATGTTGCAATAGAATGCAAGGTGCCTTTTATTTAAGTCTTAGAGACCAAGTTTCTCATTAAGCTTCCCTAGTTTCAGCGCAAGCAACCAAGAGGGGAGTTCCTAGGCACAGGAGACTGACCCATAATGTAAAAGACCAAAGCTAGTGCTCTCTAGGGCCACAGAATCACTTCCCACCACAGCATCCCATGGGAGGGAAAGAATAAAACGAGGCTTGCCAAACAAGGTGTCCCTCACATTAAGGGAATCTCCAGAGACAGGCGTTGAACCCCTTTGTACCCCCTCAGCCTATCTGGCCAACTGCTAGGGGGCCCACCACAGGAGAATTGTCTGAGCCAAAGACAGGTCCTCATATAGGGCCACCAGAATTGATGAAGAATAGGTGTGTGTTGCAGTGTTGTCTTGAAGGAATTCGCTTAGACTGTCTCCAAGTCAAGTAAAGGTATTTATTGAGGTGATACACCCAGTGGACTCTGTTCCTTATGGGAGGCCAGAGCGGGCCCTGCTCCCTATGAGAGACAGAGCACTGAGTCGGGTTATGTGTCTGGTCTGTATACAGTTTGACAGGATAGGGAGAAAGAAGTGGGGAGCTACTACAGTTTAAGAAAATGGGAAGGGGGAATAAGAGAGGGCAGGAGGAGTGTGCTGCTCTGGAATGTCACATAGTCCATACAGATAAACAAAGGGAACAGAAAAAGGAGGAAGGGAAGAGCTGTTCTGTTCTGGAATGTTCAGGTAGTCCAAGGTGTTTTGTGAATGCATAAGCCCATGGTGGGGGGCTTCAATGCACAGTCTTCTTGAGCACTTTTCTGGCTAGTCACATCCTTCATTCTATCTCATATCCTACATCCTGCATCCTGTTGGCTCCCTCCGCCTCAAACACTCCTATCTGCCTCATCACCTATATCAATAAAAATACTATCTATCTACTGTCCTGTCCTACTCAGTAGAACTAACTCCAGAGTCAACATTCATGTTTGTTTCTCATAGGGATACAATTCAATTCAATTGAATACACATTTATTAAGCACCTATTATATGTAAGCCTTTGGGAATACAAAGATAACACAGTCCCTGCTCTCAAGGAGCTTACAGCCTAGCAGAGTGGATAAGACATGGTTACAAAAATTGTAGTACCAAATAGAGGAACTCAAAATACAGTGAAAAGATCCAAGGGAGGGAGAGATTTCCAACTGAGGAGGAACCAGGAAAGGCTTCTTAGATGAGGTAAGGAGCTGGGCTCTTAAGGTAAATAGATAGTCATAACTAGGGGAAGTAGATGGTCATAATCTACCAAAATTCCAAAGAGCTCGTCTGCAGGCTTTGGTGCAGAGAAGTTGCAAAGCTGGCTCCATGTGCATGCAGGTAGAGGTGAGGTTCAAGTGATGCATCAGAGAGTATTATCATTAACCTACTGGACCCAAACAGGGAAGAAGTCTAAGACATGGTCCAATAGGCAGGTCAGTACCTCAGGTTCAGACGAGGACCCAAACCTCTCCTAACTGTTAGGAGTTAAACCTCTTTATCTTCCCATCCCAGGTTAGACATGAAAACTCAGTGTTTCTCTAAATAAAATTACATGCTTTAAAACATAGATTCTCAACTCTTTTTGTGGATGGATCCCTGTGGCAGTATAGTAAAGCCTATGGACCCTTTCTCAGAATAATGTTTTTAAATACACAAAATAAAATGTAGAGGATAACAAAGGAAACTAACAATATTGAAATAAACTTATCAAAATACTTTCCCATCTAATTTCACAGGCCCCCCCCCTACAATCTATCCATGGGCCCCTTGGGGGGTCTATGGACCTCCAGTCCACAGAAAAAGTTCTTGGCCACCCTAGCCTTTTCCCCACTTCCATACAGACTTCTCTCCTTCTTCTCTGAATAGTACAGACATGACTATACAATTTAGCTCTTTAGTGGTCCCTTTTTGTTCCAGATGAGTTAATACTGACCTCTTCACTAGATATTCAATTTCTTGAGGGCAAAAACCATGACTTATGTTCCTTTGTGTCTTCATAGCACCAAGTATAGCAAAGACTAATGATACGTATTAGTTGATTGACAAGTAAAAGACATATGGAATCGTGATCAGCTTCCAACTCAGAAATCAGAGAATGAAGATTTAGAGATGGGTCTGGAACACAGGGTCCTCACCTTCCACTTGTCTGTCATAGATTCTGTTCTCATTCCCTGAATCCTGTATCTGGCATCGATACCAGGCTAGTTCCAGACAATAGAGAGAAGAGCCCTTGAGAGAAATCAGTTCTGCATAATTGCAGCAACCTGCATAAGGAGAACCTTTAATCAGAAGGGAAAATTTACGGCCATACTCCAGGGAAGGCCCTGGCACATTAAACAGCTGCTCAGGGCTCCCTTCTTCCCTTTAGACTTTTCTGTCTGGGCTGCCCAGTTTCTGGCTGTCTGCCTATCAGAGAGGAAGTTTGGATATGCATCTAGGGAAGGTAATCTTTCAAAAGCCCCTTCTGTGTTTGCAGAACACAGTAGGCAAAGCAAAGCTTACAGGGCAATCTAAGTTCCTCAGGTTGACCTAGTCCCTGATCCCACTGCCAGGGATTTTCAAAATCACCTAGCAAAATCAAGCATATGCCCAAGTATTTTTTAATTACCTGTGTGCCCAGCACTGTGGGGAATTACAAAAGGTGGCAAAATCTCTGAATGCAATTTAGTTGGAAGGACAAGACTAAGCCACATGTAATAGTAGAAAATAGTATATGCTGTGATGTGAGGCACTGTATCAGTGCTAAAGGATTTAAGAAAATGAGAAATCAGTATGCACAGGGGCAGTGTGGGTTATCAAGGAAGACTTCATGGAAGAGTTGGACCTTAAAAGATGAGCTGCAGGAGGATGGCCAGAGAGGAGTAAAGACAGCATGCCATCACTTGTTGGCGGTCCAAAGTCAAAATTCTGACCTTTGATTTCTTCATCTGTAAAATAGGGAAAAATAATACTCTACCTACTTCCCAAGGTAAAGATTTCTAGACTAATGCTTTATAAACTATAAGGTGTTATATAAACATGAGCTATTATTTGAAGCATAGGGTTTAGAGCTGAAAGAGACTTTAAAGGTCTCAGCCCAATCCTTCCATTTTTATAAATGAGGAAATTGAGCCCCAGGGACATAAGTAACTTGCCCAAAGTGAAAAAAGCAGTAAGGATTTAATCATATATCAGTCTGTCAAGAAGCACTTATTAAGGGCTTATTTTGCATCAGGCACTGTGGTAAGCACTGGAAATACAAAGGCAAAGGGCAGCTAGGTGGCACAGTGGATAGAGCTCCAGCCTTGGAGTCAGGAGGACCTCAGTTCAAATCTGCCCTCAGACATATGACTCTTACTAGCTGTATGACCTTAGGCAAGTCATTTAACCCTGATTGCCTCACCAAAAAGGTGGGGGGGAAAAAAAAAAACTATAAAGGCAAAAACACTCCCTGACTTCAAGGACCCTATATTCTAATGGAAGAGATACTATGTGAACAACTGAGTTCAAATGTGGCCTCAGACACTTAATAGTTGTGTGGCCATGGGCAAGTCACTCAATCCTGTTCACCTCAGTTTCATCATCTGTCAAATGAGATGGAGAAGGAAATGGCAAACCTCTCCAGTACCTCTGCCAAGAAAACCCCAAATGGGGTCACGAAGAGTTGTTCATGACTGAAAAACAACCGAACGACAACAAATCTCTGTATCCTCCCCTGAGGTTTCCTTCCTGAATTATCCCTCCTTGAAGTTTCTCCCTCTATTTCCCTCAGAAGCATTTTCAGGGAAAGGTCTTTTAATCCTTCCTTCTACCCTCTAGTTCACAAGGGTTTCAATGATTTCCATATTAGAAAGAATTAGAGATAACTTTCACAAAAAGCACACGAGGCTTCAGCCTGCCAGCATCAGGACCACCTTCTAGCACACAGGGTTGGGCTACAGCTCCTTCCTCTCCCACTCCATCCCACTCTTCCCAAAGGCTCCCTCTAGCCTCTTCACCCCTCAGGTGTGGAGTATCGCCGTGACGCACACCTTCCAGATCCGGAAGGCCCGTGACCAACTTGGCTACATCCCGGAGAAGTTCACCTTTGCTGACTCAGTGGACCACCATATCCAGACCAGGCCCAAGCAGCAGCGCCACAGCCCAGGGCTTCTCAGATTCCTGATGGCCCTCATCTGTCTTCTTGGTGCACTCTTGCTTTCCCTGTACTTCCTAGACCCCTCATTCCTGGGGCTTTCCCATGGAAACCACATGTGACAGTCATCGCCCAAGCACTACAGGCTCCTGTTGATTTTACAGGATCTAGACCTGAACTAAAATGGTCCAGTTTAGGAACTAAGGGAGATAGCAAGTCCTGGGCCCATACAAACAGTATACCAGCTGGTTCGTTTAAGACTTGTCCGGTGCTGAGAAGGAGGTAAGAAGGCATGAGCTATGAGATGGCATCCAAATTCTTTTCAGGAGGTCCAAAAACACATCTCACTGACAGGGTATGGGCCCTGAGAAACCCTGCCCACCCATCCACCCCAACTCTCCTAGAGTTTTCTCCTTTTCCCACAGGTCCAAAGTCTTTGTTGTTTACCTGAGGCATCATTCCAGTAATCCCCTCAACCGCCTTCTGTTAGCTCTAACCCAGCCCAATCTTCATTCCTGTTACCTCCCTATTGCCCCCTGCCACTTCCCACCCTTGATCCTATCTAGACCCTATTCTACCTCCCAGTCATTCTCATCAAGTTCCTCCCTAGATCCCTCTCCCAATCCCCTCCTCCAGTCACCCCAAACTACTTGGTCACTCCTAGATCCCTCCCACAGTCTTTCTGTATATAAGATCCATCTTGTCTCCATTAAAGTGCTGAGATTTAATCTGGCCAATGGCTGAGATTCACTCTAGCCCGCTTGTTAATATGAGCACCATAAATGTTCAGATTCCTTAAGAGTCTGGCCAATATGGCAGATCTTCAATAAACCTCGTCTTTGGCTGAAAGAAGGCTTGGGTCAAATTCATTCGGGCAAGACCTGTGTGTCACTATGTCGAGGTCCCAGCACTCCTACACCCCTAAACTTCAACACCACTGCCTTTTCCCTCTTATTTCAAGACTTGGCCTGATATCTAGGAATTCAGATCAGGGGTTCTTAGCCTTTTTTGTGTGTCACAAACCCCTTCTCAGAATAATGTTATTTTTTAAAAATTCATAATTGAAGGAAATATTAAATTTCAGTTAGAGGTTAGCAAAAATAAAGATGTAATTTTTTTACCCCATCCAAGTTCATTGACCGCCCCCCCAAATCTATCAATGGACCTGTTGGGACCCCAGTTAAGAACCCCAGTTTAAATCCAATTTAGCACCCCTGAGTTAGACCCAATTTAACTGCATCCCATTTGATCCATCCCCTTAACTAAACTCTTACTTATGCATTGTTACCTATACCTGAGGGAGCCTGCTATGTCCCAACCATTGCTTAATCTGGTCCTGGCTGCATTTCCTGTTCAACAGAAATTATGCCTCAAGTCACTCTGGTACCAGTTTTTGGTTCTGATTTTTTTCATGTGGCTGTAAAAGAACATGTATATAACCATATGTAATATACATGTGTACACAGAATAAAGAGTATACATATACAATATCAGTGATGCCAGTTTGGTCCTGGTCTAAACATGGCATTGTCTGAGCACATGCACAGGAATCCAAAGTCTGGACTGTGCCCTGTCCTGTTTTCTCCTCTGAGTATTTAATCCCTCTCTGTGCTACTAGGCAAATAAAGGGTGGGTACAAGTTTTGGAGGGGGTATAAATGTTTTTACCTAATTTACAAGGCTGAAATATGTGTGTAGTTTTGGAAGAGCACACAGTAAGTTTGTGTGTATGTGTATGTGTGTGTCATGTGTCATGTCATGTGTGTGTCATGCTCACAGCAGTTATCATTCTGAAAAGTGGAACATAATTTAAAAATTCTATAAGAAGACAGACCTGCTGGTTCCAGTCATTACCAGCCGTGTCTTTTTACTCAACCAATTAGCTCTACTGGAAAAGGAAACAGGTGTTCCTACTATTCTCATAGTTGTTTGAGCATCAATGGGTACATTAAGACCATCCCAAATACTTTTGAAGTCCATAACAGGCTTCACAGCAACTAGAAAGAACAATGAAATGCCTCCCTTCCCATTCTCTGTGATGACCTTTGAGATCCGTGTCTCTGAAGTTCTAAGGCTCTCATTTCTTTGGCTAACGGTGAATGGGGCTGAAACTAGGGGGCCACTCATGGAATCTTCAGAGACCATGAGCACTCAGCATTTAGTCATCTCAAAAACTATTGGGGCGGAGCTAATGTGGCATTCTCTATAGAAGGGACTGACAGCATGAGGCTTTTTAGTTCTTCTGTTCACTACCTGTGGACAGAGCTGACCTTGAAAGCAATTTTCAGTTGCGATCTCACCTCTGACATACAGGCTATATGACCCTGACCCTGACCTGATTTAACCTCTCAGTGATCTAGGCAATTCTCTGAGACTAGAAGGTGTTCACTTGCATTTGTAGAGGGGGCTTCTTCATCTGGGATTCCCATATACCAGCAAAATCACAAGTCTACTCCTATCCCTGTCCTACTTACTGGATTCGAGAATAAACTATAAGTTGTAAGTGCTGAGACTGAGCCTTTCAGGTCTCTCTCAGCTCCCTAAGGCTGTAAGTTTTAGAGAAGGTGATAACCTGTATTGGTAGAGGGAATGTCTGCAACCCGGAGTTCCCAATACCAATGAAATGATTGGTCCAGTCTTCATCACCCCCACAACCAGTTGGATGGATTACTCAGTTTTACTACTTAGGTGATACAGTGCTAGAACCAATGGACCAAAAAGGATCAGAAAGGAAAATTAAAGGGTTTCACAGAGATAACACTTGATCCTTTCTCAATTGACAGTCAGATGGTTTCCCAGCTACATTGGAGTGTGGTAAAGTGAAGATTCATTTGAGAACATATCATGGAGTTAGTTATCCCCCAGGTGATTGTTAGCTTGGCAAATCACCTCAGATTCTCTGACTCCTTGAAATGTCTAACATCATCAAGTGAGGTTCTGTTTCTTTGGGGATGGGATCTGGAATGATCTGAGTAGGTTCCATGTTTTCCAGTGACATAAACTTGCATCTAATTTGTGTGCCGTCCCAGATTTGGCAAACTCCTGGTCATAGCTGGAGGTTTTCTCCTCAAGTAGAGGATTTCCATTCTGTTCTGACGCAACTATATAGAGATAGGGAGAGGAGAGGGAAAACAGCAGCATTCCCTGGGAGTTGTGATTCCATGGAGAAAGTAGAAGAGGAATAGAGACAGAGGCAAAAAGATAAGCTGTGGGGCTAGACCTCCAGTAAGACAGTAGAATTAGAGGTTGCAAGGGAAACCTACGGCCTCAATAACACCTTAAAAAATAGTAACACAAATGTCACTCCAGGAGCAAAACTGCCAGAAATCTTCATGTAACAAGGATTGAGCAGGAATTGTTGATGACTCAAAAGGAAGAAGAAGAACAAGAAAACAGGGTCATTAAAGCACTGTTTTAATGCACAGAAGAGAACAGAAGAAAGGCTAAAAAGCAGGATAGCTTTGAAAGTAACATGCTGAATTTATTATATAATTTAAAAGAAAAGCAAGTTATGCATAATAGAGATTAGCAATTTCATGTATAATTTATTTTTCCTGTTTTACTATGTACATTCTATATGGAAATGCTCTTTTTATTTGGTATGTGGTAAGTTCATAATAAAAAATAAAGAGAAGGAAAAAAGATCCAATGACACAGTGGATATTTAAAAGGGTTACCCCTCTGGTTATGAATCATATCAAGCCTGTTTCAGGTCCATTCCTGAGAGAAGGGCAGCTTACCCTATTTCCCACCCCATCTGCCATTCAGTCATGAGTAAACAGGCGGATAGAAAATGTGTCTAGGCAAGCCTGAGCCTATGCATTTGTTCCTTCCTGATCTTAGATGAGTAAGTCTGTATCCTGAGACGCACAGGTCTTGGAGGTACCCTGTGAGTTTAAGACATTCAGACCTGGGGCCTGATGGTCAGAGCTGACTGATGTCCTAGGCAGGAAGCCATGGTGCATATCTCCACCGGTTTTGAAGATAAGCACCATGTCTGGACAGTGCACAACTGAGGTGAATGTAACATGTAAATGTAACAACGCCTATTCAGCTATCCCAGAAACTACTTTATGTTCTGACGACCAGGTTTAAGAGCTTCCAGAGAGATGGAAGCAGTAGTTATAAGTTAGGTTACTGAATGCTGTTTTGTTGTTCTGTCAACACAGTAATAGAGCATGAGTCTGAGTCTTTTATGTTGTTAGCATTTCCTTTGAATGTAGGTAATAAAAATCTGTCCCATAATGAGTTCTGTTCCACCTTCTGGATAAGCCCTGGACATGAGCCTGAACTTAAGCCTTAAGCAATTTTCCCCTACAGTGCAGAAGAGTGTGAAAAAAAAAGGAGCCTAATCTGTCCTATGAGAAACCAAATTCCTCCAGGACTGAAGCTGTTCCAGGCGAATACCTGGGTCCAGGGAAGCTGGGCCCCTTGGGGAGGAAGAGATGCAGCATTCCTGCCTCCCAGGCCCAGCAGAGGTTAATGTTACCTAAAAACAGCAACACAAATGCCACCAATGGAACAATGCTAGAAATTCTCACAAGAGAGTAAAAAGCCACCCAAAATGACGATATAGTGAAAACTGATGCAGGCTAGGCAGGATCCATCAGCTACTTAAGCAAGATCCCTGAGTAATAATAGCTGACATTTATATAGCAACTACTATGTCTCAGGCCCTGTGCTAAGTGCTTTTACAAATATTATTTCATTTCATCCTCACAACCACCCTGGAAAGTAGGTGCTTTGTAATCCCTATTTTACAGATGAGAAAACTGAGGCAAACAGAGGTTAAGTGAATTACCCAGAATCACACAGCTAGGAGGTATCTAAGACTGGCAGGTCTTTCCTGATTCGAGTCCCAGTACTCTATCTACTGCACCATCCAGCTGCCCAAAGACATTAAAGAGATGGTGTTCCACAACTTCTCACCTACGAAATTCTCGTCCATACATTCCTATAATTCTAAACAAGTCTACCCAATGTGCTGGCGTCCTTGCTGTAGATTTCTTCACCAAGGCAGCATACAGGCCATTTATCTGTTACCTTTCACTCTTGCTAGATGACCAGCCCATTTCTTATTCTGGCAACTTGGTGATAAGTCGGCCTGGAGACAGGGAGACCAA